GTTCTTACCCACGAAAGCTTATGCTCCCAATACTTCTGTTAGTCTCAAAGGTGCCACAGGACCCTCTGAAGCTTAGGTTAGTTAAAAATGAACTTTTACAAAACCAGAGTCACGTTTCCATGGAATAAAAAATAAAATTAAACAAGGGACAAGGCTTAAATGTTGCTGCTGCAGTGTTTGCAGCCCAAATTATGCTAGGACTGAGAACCAAGAAGTGACACTGACTAGAACCTGACTGTAACCAAAGTGAAGGTAACTAGTCTGTGTTAACTGTTCACACACTGAGAGAAGCAGAGATAGCAGGAAGTCATCAGACTTAAAGCCCAGATTGTGAATGGCCCAAGTGGCTGCTGAGGGGTGAGCAAGAACTTGTGCTGCTGCCCTGGGGCTGGGGCTAGCAAGAGCCTGCCCCCTTCACACTGGCTGGCAGAATGGGGCAATCTCCTCCCCCCAGTGAATGGAGCAGACTGCACTCTCGGCACTATGACAGACGGTGCCTCTCTGATGCAGGCTCTCTCCTAGAGAAGTGCCACTCTACCATGCCCTGACTTCGGGCTGTGCCTTCAAATCAGAAGTGTTTTCCCCTTTAATCATTGCAGATGTATTTCTCAAATAGGCAAAGAAATGATTTTTCCTGGCTGGCTGCACATGACAGGGACACTGTTAAGGCATTACGTTTACTCCTTTAACAAAGACTTTTGGTGATCTTCCAGTGTTCAAGGACATTCCACTTTATTTAACCTCTTCAGCACAACTGTGGTACACCCCCGCCTGGAACAGCCATCACACAGTTACAAGATGCAGTATCTGGGACAAGGAGTTAACGCTTTAATTCCCAACCCACTAAGTCCAATAAAGCATTGGCACTGCTCAGTTTTCATAAAGAGATTTTTGGCTAATATGAAACACAAGCAGAGAGGACTGTTACAGAGCTAACAGTGACTGATAAGGGATCTGAACCGCTTCTCCATTTGATTGCTAAGTAATTTAGCAGATTATCTCCCCAGTTTAAGTACACAAATCAAACTAATCCCACAGCTGTTGCAGGATTTCAAGCTACGAGTCAATAGTCCTTTTAAATCCTCTGACAGAAAAATCTGGACATTTAAAAATTAGTTTTTCTAGAGTACTTGAATTGCTATTCACGTCCACAGTTAGTTCACATCGAGTTTCACTTTTATGTTCATGGCTGCCAACTCAGCCACAAAATACCGGAAGACATAAGGCACAGAAACAGTGTCGATTGTGTCGCTCTGATTGCACACAGTACAGTAGTATTTCCTATTGCGCGTCGTGGACCAGGAAGGCGGAGGCTTCTCCAACAAAGGAGAAAGCAAACTGCCACACTTGACACAGACGTGGGCCACAGAACGATCGGAACAGTTGAAGAGACGGTCATGCAGCAAGAAGGACGTGCCGTGAGCCAACAAGGCATCGCGTTCCATCTCTCCGAAGCGAATCCCACCCTGGACATTCCTCCCACCGATGGGCTGGTTGGTGACTTTATCTCTGGCTCCTGTCGTCCTCACTTGGAACTTGTCTGAAACCATGTGACGCAGGCGTTGATAGTATACAACTCCAATAAAAATGTCTGCCTCCAGTTCCACCCCACTGATTCCACTGTACATCCTCTCTGTTCCATAGTAGTTATAGCCAGCAGCCTTCAACATCTTGCCAAAGTATTCCAAGGCAGAGTTCTCCTCCGAAAATGTGAAGGGGGTGGCATCGTGACAGAGGCCATGCAATGCTGCAGACTTCCCTGCCATGCTCTCAATCAGCATTCCAATGGTCATTCGGGATGGAAAGCCATGAGGATTGAAGAGAATATCTGGAACCATTCCACTCTCTGTAAATGGCATGTCCTCAACTGGCCAGAGTCTGCTCAAAATACCCTTCTGTCCATGTCGGCTGGCAAATTTGTCCCCAATAGTTGGATTACGAGGGATTCTCATAGTGATGCAAACACTTTTAAATTTTCCATTTCCACTGTCATTGCTGCACACTTTGATGTTATCCACAATGCAACTTTCCTTACTCCTGGGAAGGGGAGAATAAAAAAGTCAATGAAAGTTTCAAAGTTGTTAACTTGGCAGCTCTGTGCCAGGAACTTTTGCCTGGAAACTGCTTTTAGAAAGAGACTTTATAAGTAGTACAGCCAAGCTATGTGAAATGAACTGGCTGTCTTGGGAAACTCAGCATTTCCTCAAGGAAGAAGCCATTTTGTAAGCATGGAGATCGAAACTACATTCGGGTTGGTTTTAGAAAGCATTACACTTGAAAAACGGGTTCCTCAAAGGCTGCTCAAGTCATTTCTAATACAATAATCAAAACTAGGATTTCTAAAAGATTTTTGATTTATGCACCATGAACAATGTAGAGTAAGAAGCAATTAAAACTAATTAATCTTTGCACTGTGGGAATTGATGGTCAAGCTGAGTTTCAATACCTGATAAGTTTCTTTACACTTTAAATGTGACCTGCAAATGAGAAAAAGTGGACTTTTGCCCCTTTTTTATTACATCATCATGAACTATAAAGACCTGAAAGTTGTGTGTGTTTTTTTTTTTTAAAAAGGCTTTTAATTTTGCCCTCTCTTCCCCTTTCCATTAGAAATTCATGTCTAGTCTTGACTGCAGACTAAGGGGACTAGAGAATTAGTGAAACAGTGAGATCACAAGCACCCACAGAGAGAGAGAGCTGATGATTTGAAAGGGGTAGGCCATTTTTAGTCAGAATATTCAAAAATGTTTGTTTTTGTTAATGCCTGTTTAACGTCAGCAACTAATATTTTAGTAAAGGGAAGGTTGTTCTTGTTGTTAAAAGATTCAACATCTTTGTCCCCTTAGTTTAAGGTGTCAAATCTCACAAATATCTCTGGGATCCTCCAGGAGAAAAAAGGAAGACAAACCTTGAGATTCCTGATATTTCTAAGGTATAATACAAACAGCAGAACCAGCCCGCTCCCCCCAAAACCACCATCTTTTAGGCCTTTTTTCATAAGCCCAATTTTTAAAATATCCTTTTTGTGTCACCTTTAACATTCTGGGCATGAAGATCAGCAGATGGAGGAGGCCATTGCCCACCCACACAGAGGAAGGTCACTGATCCTACATGTCTAGCTAGCGCACTGATAGGGTGTCATGACAGGTGGGTTCTATTCCTAGTTCTGCCACAGACTCTGTGCCTTGGTTTCTCCGTGAGTAAGACACGGATACCACTTACCTCCCAGCAATGGGGTAACTGAAAACAACTGCCTGAGCGATGTAGGAGCCTAGCTCCCATTTTCCAGAGTGACTTAGATCCTACGTACCTCTCATTGGAAGTCACCAGAACTTAGGCTCCTCAGTTGCTTAAGCACCTGTAAAAATCTTACCCAGAGTGCCTTAAGAAATTCTCATGAAAGAAGCCAGAGTAGGAAAGCAGTGTAGTACTACACACAGAATGGCTGCAGGAGGAGTAGTGGAGAGGGAGGAATCTCATATGCACAAGCTCTCCTCACCAGAACTGTCTCCAGTTTTACTTTGTGATAAGCGCACCTTTTGTGTGCGTCTTTCCCTGGCTTTGTGAAGAAGCATGTGCAGCTTTTCAACACTTGCAGGGCTCAGAGGAAAGCCAATATACTGGTGTGAAATCCATCTGCAATATTAATTACTCTTCCCTACAGTGCATGCATCCAGCGAGAGTTGTTTTATAAAAAGAGATGCAGATGCTTTCATTCTCTGGAATGATCAGGGAACGAATAAAGGACTCCTAAACCCTACAGGGCTGTCTGCACATCAGAGCAGTTCTCAGAACTCTACATTTGAGACGGTAACCAGGACAGCTGAGCTCTGAACTCACTTGTAATAGGTTATGAAGCTCTCCCCAGTACTGAGGTTCAGGTAGCTGTAGTAAGGGTCCCCATACTGCAGTATGGATCCAATGTGTGGCAGTCCGTCAGCATCCAGATTCTGTATAACCCTTGGATCACCAGGCTTGACTCCAAACACCAGACTGTCATCTACTTGTTTGATTTTTTCAGCAAGATCTATGCTCTCCGTCTTGTAAACGCTGCCGTGGGCAAATCCTCTCTCCCACGAAGCCTTACTTACAATCTGAACAAAACACCCCAAGAAACCAGAGTCCCTTCAGCGAGGCTGCTTCAAAGCTGACTTACCAAAAACAATCAGTTTTAAACACGATGAACACACTTTGTGTCTGCTTTCAGTCTCTCCATTTTACACAGTCACTCCCCCGAGGCTTCTATATCCCCCTTCCTCTGCCCACAGATGTTCCTCGGCAGAGGAAGCATTTACATATTGCTGTGACACACTTTTTTTTTTTTTAAACATCCCTCTAGCTAAATAATCACCCCCCCCCCAACATAATCACAGTCCCATAAACACCACACACACTTCCCACACGCCACCGCTCAGACACGACCCACTTCTCAAATGGTGCAAGGCCAGCGCCTAGCACAATGGGGCCGATGCCAGTCACAGCTCCCACATCTTAAATGTGAAAAAATCATTTATTTTCCCTTCTTTACCAGATGGGGAAATTTGTGCGCCAGCAAAAGCAGGCAAGTAAACTCTTACCAACTGCTACTTCCATCTTCCGATGTTGCCCTTCTGGCCCTGCTGCACAGCCTCGCTGAGCATTCCCCAGACCAGTAGGAAGGCAGA